TCGAACTCACAGAGATCCGCCTGTCTCTGCCTCCTGAGTGCTGGGATTAAAGGCGTGCGCCACCACTGTCTGGCTCACCTCAAGTTCTTAATCATCCCCTTGCCTCATCCTCCCAAATGCTGACATGCCATCACAGGGGGCCCAGAGATCCTTTTTACATTATTTTGAAAAGTTCTGACATATGAACACTACAGGCCATGAACTAAATGAAAGAGATAAATGATATGAGTTCCAAAGGGCCCGAGGTCAGAGAAGGGTTAAATGATCTGCAGAGTCTCTGCCAGCACATCAAAAGCTAGAACCTTCCTCTTTCTGTAGCTTAGAAGGTATGCTTAAATGTTCCGTTTCACTCGATGACCTCTAAGAAAACGAGTAGACACTAACTCAAAAAGGGTCAGAAAGCAGCATCACCTGCTCATGCCTCTGCTTCCAGCGCGTATTTCCACTTGGAAGAGGCCATTTTCTCCACATCAACAGCATCACGGTGGACTGGGGTGAGCTCGCTCGAGCATTAGGGTTACTGTGTGGAGATGCACAGTGATGAACTTTGTGTGTTTCCTCCACCAGGTACCAGAAAGCTCCGCTCTGTTTCCTCCATGCTATCGCGACCTTGTGAGTGTCTCCACACTAACACCACAAGTTGCATTATTTATCAAACTTATAAAGAATCAAATACTTCATACAGAAGGCTGGGGGCTCACTTTAGAAACTCTAGTGTGCTCCAAAACAGCCATACAAAGCTGTGTAGACATATGAAACACAGCATACTCTCCAGCCTCTGACTGTACATGTTTTGCCTTTTGTCATGGAAAACATCATTAAGTTTCTCAAAATGCTGCCTTCTCCCCCAACAAGGTATAAATTATGGATGCTACCTCCAGACTGAAAGGAATGGAGTCAAAAGGGTGAGAACATATTTATGATGAAGGACAACATTGAGGGAGGTCTCTATTTTAAATATTTAATAAATATCAAAATGGTCTCCTTTGCCAAGGAAATGTGAGTTATAAATCTAAATGGAAAATGAGCCTCTGCCCCAGAAAGCAAGTGTATCTCTCTCTCTCTCTCTCTCTCTCTCTCTCTCTCTCTCTCTCTCTCTCTCTCTCTCTCTCTCTGTGTGTGTGTGTGTGTGTGTGTGCGCGCACGCACACCCATGCACAGGTGGAATGGATAGCTAAACTGGCCTTCTCAAAGAGAGAACAAACATGGCAGTTCACATTTTGTGCTGGACGCTTGCGCTCCATTGAAGTACCTGTCAATGATAATAAATTTTAAACCAAAAATGAAGCATTTATTAAATGCCCATTAAATACCAAAGGGAGGAATCCTTAAGTGGATGTAATTATGGAAAAGACTTATCCAGGGATACAGGGAAGTTGGGGAGAAGAACTCCAAGCCAATAAACTATACTGAGGAGGACATTGGTTACTAAAATTACCAATATGTGACAACTTGTTTTGATCTGGAAACCTAGTTAATTAGACACACACACACATACACACACACGCAATCTTATATCACTCTTTAAGGTAGATTATACTGGATAAGGTAGGAAAGAGCTAGGGCTAGGGAAATGGCTCAGTCAGTAAACCATTCGCTGAGCAATCATAAGGACCTGAGATTGGATCCCCAGTATCCACATGAAATCCAGGTGTTATGATGTACACCTGCTGTCCCAATGCTGAGAAGGTGAAGATAGACAGAACCCTAGTCAGACAGCTCGTTGGTCAACTTGCCTGGCTGAACTGATTCATTCAGTGGGAAATGCTGTCTCAAAAAATGAGATAGTTATTAAAGAAGATAATGGACATCAACCTCTAGCCTACACATACACACGCACGTGCACACACACACACAGAGCTATAGCTTATAAAAGAATAAGATAAATGCATCCTGGTAAAGCAATTACCTCAATTCTTCATTATTAAAGAACAAAACTAAAGTAGTCTCCTATTTACAAGCTTGTTTTCCATGGCTTAGTTACCCAGGTCAGCACAGATTTGAAGCTACTAAAAGAAAATTCTAGAAACATACAATTGCCAAAACCTGAAAAGCATCCTAAAATCTCATGTTGTCTTACTCTTTCCTCTTTGAGACACGAAGCATCCCTTTGTCTTGTGTGTACACTACCCTCCTGTTAGTAACTCAGCAGCCATCTTAGTTTTCAGATCCACTGCCATGGTTTTGCAGTTGCTTACATTGAAGAATCCTATCTTACTTAATCATGGCCCCAAAGTGCCAATGTTCTTTACAACATACCATCATAACTTATATCTTCAGTATTATTATGCATGGTTTATAAGATAACTTTTATCATGTGTGTGCATTTGTAGAAAAATGTAGTATTCATTAGCTTCAGAAATATTTGCATTTTCAGATTTGTACCTCTAAGCATCTCCTGCAAGGATGAGGAAGGACCAGGGTATTGGCAGGCACCATAGCAGTTTCTATGCCTTTAACATGTACACACGCACAGGAATCAGAAGATCCACTGCCCAGTTTCTCAGTGACATGCACTGTGAGAGAGATATGCCACGTAAGTCACTTCCATTGAGAGATGGGTAAATGCACATCACTTATGACCAAGACTCAGGGCATGCCGATAAAGCCATGAAATACATTCAGACACCAAAGGATGAACCACAGGAAGAACGGGGAGAAGGAGAGAATGATTTCATACGGCAGAGTTCCACCGTGCTTAGCACCACACGTTACGTTTGTCTGCTTCTGTCACCTATCACAATCATTTTCTCTATTAAAGGGCTTGTTTGCATGTGTGTCTACGTAAGTACATATGTGTGTGCAGGTAAATGTGGGCATGTACCCACAGATGCCAGCAGAGGGTGTCGGGTGTCCTCTACCACTCTCCATCTATTCCTTTCAGGCAGGGTCTCTCCCTGAACCTGGGGTTTGCATCTTCTTGACTAGGCTGGAACCCTGTCTCAGCTCTTCCTTAGAGCTGATACTATAGGCATTTTCCAGAATACCTTGCCTATTATACAAATATTGGGATCTGAACTCTGGTCCCCATGATGGTGGAACAAGCACTCTTAATTGCTGAGCCAACTTCTACAGCACCCATTTTCTGGAGGGGATATTGTTTTTGTTTCTGTTTTCTTAAGATATGGTCTCAGGTGATGCAACAAGACCTAAATTTCTTATCCTTTTTGCCTCTGGGTGCTGGTATCATAGGTGTGCACCATACTACTTGACCCACAGTCAATAATTTTCTAGTATCACTACACATTCCATCAACACAAGACTCTAATGAGAATAGACTTGCCACAGACACATGGGCATCACCTAACGCAATGGGCACTATTTGTATCTACATCTTACAAAGGTAAATTCAGAATAGCATCTCTGAGAAAGAACGTGGCTATTTTCTGAGCCCCAGCAGTGCTCTTAGGGATCAGTAGCCAGTATATCATATAAGACAACCAACTTCCTGCTACTGGGCACAACATGTACATGCCTGCTAGATAGTCACAGACACATACGCATTTCTAATACTGAGAAGTCCCTCTTCAGGTTGCTTCCCCTGAAGGCTCTTTATGAACTATTGCCATATTCTTTTTAAGCAGTGAAAAACTTCACGTTTTTTGTCTGAAAAATGCTGGCTATTCCATGATTTCACAATTGTCTAAAAATACTTGACTGGAAAGAAAGACCTCACAGTTCCCCAGGGCTCTTTAGCATTATTTCTCAAATGTCCAAATCTGGCAAGTTTTCAGTGTGCTTCTGTCTACAGAAGGCAAGTTTTAGAAAGCGGTGTGATCTGCAAGCGAACCCCTCCCCTGGATGTACACACATCTGCATGCACACACATCCTTCACACACCACACACGGACACACACAGGTCATTTCTCATCATCCTTTCTACTTCCAGAACTCACGGCATCCAGGATTTTGAGGACAGAGATCTGCTTTTCTGTCTTTTCTGGAAATAGAACCTACTACTGTTTGATAGGAAAGTAATTTAGAAAAATCTTAAAACTTCAAATATGAAAACTCCTTTATTCAGTGGTTCACTGAGAGGCAATTATCCAGAAGAAGCCATTAATAATGGGATTTACTACAGTTATAAGAACTTTCTGAGAGCATGAAAGTTAAAAACAATTATAAACAATTTAACACCAGCTGGAGAGGATCAAGTAATGAAATTTCCATGCTTGCTGGAAAGTTATATAATCAGGGAAAGTTACATTGTAAAAAGTGACATTGCCATTGAGTGATGTTGACTGTCAAGAGAAACAAATATTAGAGGACGTTATATACTATTTTGTGCTTTACTACTGTCTGACAGTTGTCTCTACAGCTGAATATCACCATTAGAGTTATCTTTTACTTATCATTGTCTTGTCACATCTTATCAGTCACCTCAAAATACGTAAACATCATATTTTTTCTATGAAAAAAAAGAAAGAAAAATAAAAGGGACTCCACAGAACAGATGGCTCAGTGCATAAAACACTTTTGGTGCAAGAATATAGAACCAGACTTCAGACCCTCAGAACCCACATTAAAGGCAGGCAGGCATGGTACTCAGTTGTAATTCCAACTGAAGGGAGAAACAGAGGTTCCTGAGTGGCTACACTAGTCACATTAGCTCTGTGTTCAGTTGAGAGACCTTGCCTCAATACAGAAGGTGGAGAGTGATTGAGGGGGACTTCCAACATCAAGCTCTGAGTTCTACATACACACAGACATGTGCACTGCACTTACATGTGAGCATGCCTACACACAAGCATGAACACCACACTTTTACATATGTATGGAAAAGCAACAGTTCCCTTTCATTAAGAGTCTGCAGAAAAATAAGTAGAAGGCTAATGTAGATATGTACTGTTCATGTGTGTGTGTGTGTGTTTGTGTATGTGAGTGTGTGCGTGTATGCACATATGCATCTTCATGGGGGGATACTGATGCACACTCAGTCGTGTCTTGGGATTTCAAGACAAATGACAATGAATTTGGCTGCTGGCTTCAGCCTTACTTACCAGTACCATTCGCCTTCATCACAGTGCAAAGCCACAGGCAGTCACTCCCTTCCAAGCAGATCTTTTCTTGAAGATTTTGCTTGAGTAGAAAGGGTGGCAGTAGAGAAATTCAGTGTAATAGGCCTGAACCTGGAATACAAAAGCAAGACTGATGGATATGCAGCTTGGTGGCCCTAATTGACACAATCTGCAGGCATCAAAAATACAAATACCCCCAACACACCACACACACACACACACACACACACACACACATACATACACACACACTATATTTTTAAATAAGAAGGATTAAATAAACAGAAACCCTCCCCTCCTGTCTCTTGACTCTGATCTTTCAGGGAAATCCAAAATTGTTCTCAGGAGCCATCAGGACCATGCTGAACTGAAACTTTCTGACTGAAGTTCTTTCTTTTCCTTTAAAGACTTATTGGTTTTGATTTTGTGTCTTGAGTGTTTTGTCTGCGTGTATGTATGTGCACTATCTGTGTGCCTGGTGCCTGCAGAAGCCAGAAGGGGGCTCTGGATACCCTGAGAGACTGGAACTACAGATTGTTGCGATTCGGCATGCCAGGTGGGAAGCCGTCCAAGCTGGCCCTCCCTTCGGATACTGGACCACATTTCAGGCAAGCAGCATCCTGCACTCTGGCTTCCATGTCCTGTTTTATTCCCACATTCCCTGAGTTCCCATGTGGCCACCTTGAATTTTTCAAGACTCAAGTATTGAGGCGTGACAATCTGCCTGCCTGTGTACCTGTGACATCATTGCACACATGCCAACTCCTGCCTCACTGGATCCAAAGGCCACATGTTGCTCAAAAAGGAACAGTGGGCTGCCAAGGAAACAGCTTTTCATAATCACATCTTTGGCAAATGACCCACCGCAGACACATTAGTCACTGTTGGGACAATAAATACAGATTTCCTGAGAGGTCATGGAACCTGCTTGGGGGCGGGGGATTTCTTTCATCCACACTAGAAGATTTTCTAGGCTTTAGAGTGGGAATGAAGGCAGCGCTGCTGTCCTGTGTAACCCACTCCACCAAGCTGCTGGTGTCATCCTCTCCTGGTGACCTCTTCCCAGCAATGAGCCCAGGGCCTTCGCTGAGGAACTACAGCTTCTAACCACTTCTGTGTGCTCTCCCGACACTGTGAGCAGAAACTATGAGGGCCGACAAGACTGCGTGTTTGGTGAAGTACTTGCTGTGCAATTGCAGGAGGACGTAAGTTACACCCTCAGAAACCACATGAAAAAAAAAAAAACCAAAACGCCATGCATGGTACATGATTATAGTCCCAGTGCTGGAGAAGCGGAGGCCAGCAGATGCTTGGGGATTGGTAACAAACCAGCCTACCCTACTAGGCTATGCTGAACTAATGAGAGACTTTCTCAAAAAAAAATGATAGCTCCCGAAGAACAACACTGGAGGTCAGCCTCTGTCCTCATCAGGCACACACATACACGGGGACTCAAACATGCACACATGTACATACATGTATGCACATGCACACACGCAAAAGGAAAGGGACTATCATGCATGATACGCAGAAAGTGGGAGCAGAAAGTGAGAACTCTGATCTATGCTATAGCTTTAAAAATATTTGTACTACACAAAAATTGATGCCGGCACCCAAGACTGAAGTCCCTGACCACCACGGTGATGGGAACATCCCATGTATTACTTCTTCCCTGAAGTACCCTACTGCTTTCTCTCTCAAAGTAAACTGCTGTCCTTTGCTTTTTTATTCATCATCCCCTAAAATGTGTGGTTTTAAGTTTAAGATGTTGTTTTTAATTAAAGACAGGTTCTCATGTTGCCAGACTGATCCCTAACTTACTACATTAATGTCCTCATACTTGTCACTATCATGCTCCTGCCTCTTCATCCTGAGTGCTGAGATGACTGACACACACCAGAACATCTGGATTATCTGGTCCTAGGAATTGAACCCAGGGCTTCATGCATTCTAGGCAAGAACGCTACCAAACTGAGGGACACTCTCAGTTTGTAAAATGCATTAAGTAATTCTATCACGATGTGGACAGTGACTCGTAACTAGATCCCCACAGTGCTTTTGTTAAGATTTACTGAGTTTGTTTTAGGTGACTTGAGTTTGCTCATTTCCGCTATGTAATATTCCACTGTGTTGCTAAACTGGATCAGTTTGGCTTAAACTTGGCTTTGTACTTGGGTGACAAAATCTGGCCCAATGCAGCCTTTGCACATGGTACAACTATGTCCTAGCTTAACGTATAAACAACTCATAATCTAATCGAAGGGTAGAGGCATACAGCCAAGCAACTAAGTCTCAGCCAATCACAGGAGTCGAGGTTTAGCCAATCATAGGCTGCCAACTGATCAGACCATGTCTACAGAAGTCCAGTGGCAACTGCAGCCAATCAAGTCCTGTCTGCATGTCACTTCCTTTCCTTAGGCTATAAATATAACCTGTAACGTGGTGGGGTGGAGCTTTCCAAACCATCTTTGCTCTGGAACGCTGCCTGGTTCTAGAACCTGTTTTTTTCTTGCTTAAGTAGACTTTGGTTAAATTTAACTCATGTCAGTTTTTAACAGTTTTGCAGTGTGAAAACATATGTATAGATATATATTTTCCCTTCTATTGATGGACTTTCACATTTTTCCAGATTCCATTTTTTTCCCCTGCTAGAAACATGCTGTGTCTATTAGAAGCAATACACATAAGCACACATTTTCCTGGGGTTCAGTCTGGTAGTATATGAATATACACTGTTCCACAAAAACATCAGACTGGTTTCCAAAATGAATATATCAATCTACGTTCCTGCCGGCAGTAAGGCCCATATGTTTTCAAACTGACCAGTCATTTTAGAATCAAGAAGACAGACACCATCTGAAGCTGGTGTATTTGTTTTGCAGAGGGGATATTTAAAATACGAACTATCCTTTTTTTTCTGACATCAGTGAGTTTAGATTTCATTAGCCACTAACAAATGAGTTACTTGCTGGGACAGGTTTATTTGGCCACTTTGAAAAGTGACATCAACTAATTACTTGGATTAGAGTTAGAGTGAAAATCTGAAGGTCATATGTGGCCTTATTTCCCAATCATTCAACACTTAAGATGCCGCCAAAGGATATTCTAATAAGCCCAGCCATGGTGGCATGGATGTGGAATTCCAGCGCACAGAAGGTAGAGGAAGAGCAATCAGAAGTTTAAGAACATTTTAAGTTACATCACAAGTCCCAGGCCAGCCTGGAATATATGGGATGTTATCTTACTAAACCCCAAGCCAAACCAAAACAAACAAATAGAATACATAAAAATAAAAAGAGTATTCTAAGACGAATGAGGTCTGGGACCAACACTGCCCACTGGGAAAGGGAAGCTAAATAGAATTTAAATAAACCAGGATGATGAAAACTTGAAGTACCCCTTATGCTCCCACTGTTAATGAGCAGCTAAACAATGGGCCAAGTTAGGTGAAGAAAGCAGTGTCTCTTCTTTTAGGAAAGCAGAATTTAAAGACCCTGTAATTACGTTTTGCTGGGCATAGGTGTGGGAAAACCTTTCCTTTGCACAAGACCAAGGCCAGAACACAACGTTCCCAAGCCTTTGATGCCAGTTTACAGAGCTGTCCAACCCCATGTGGGCTACTTTCACAGGCTCCTCCAGGAATGCTGTGGACCTGGCTGGGCCTGAGTATGGAGGTGGTAGATAAAAGATATACTGACCCCCACGAGTCCCCAGATTTCTCTTAACAGAAATATTCAATTCGCATCAGGGTACCTGTCAGAAAACATGGTCATCACTGATGAATATCATTTTCAATCACTGAACATCCTTCCCACAACCTCATGTGTACTACCGTAATGTTAAATGAATACTACCATAATGTTAAATGTATACTACCATAATGTTAAATGTATACTACCGTAATGTTAAATGCTCTGCCCTGTGGTTTTGAGTCCCTTTCTCCACCCTGGTCTCTTTTGACCAAGAGCCCTAATCTGGCAGGGAAATGCCTGAATGGTATGGGGTAAGGGGGAAAAAATGGGTAATTAAGGATTTTGCAGGAACAGGGTATTTCTGGACAACTGAGTGTTGAGAGAAAATAAGAAAAGCAAGATATACTGTTAAATGCGTTCATTTGTCTATTTGGGGTTTCCCAATGGTTGCAGGGAAGTTGCCTCTCTGTGGGCTCTCACACTGTATTTTGTTAAGAAGGGCCTTAATTTTGCTGATGTTTAAAATATTTATTATTTATTTATAGTTATTGTCTATCTTGTGTGCCTACATGTGGAGCGCAGAGGACAATTTGCAGCCACCCGTTGTCTCCTTCTACCACATGGGTTTCTGGAACTGAACTTGGGTAGCCAGGCTTGGGGAAGACATCTTCACCTGCTGAGCCCTCTTGCTGGACCACAAGCCTTGATTTTGTTCACACTTCACATGCTAGTGAGCTGGAGGCCAAGCAAGCATTATCTAGTGAGCTCTTCCTTCCTGGTGAGGGAAGCTTTAACTGCCTTGTGTATTCTCTATTAAAACTGTCATTTTAAAAGCCACCCTGGGGGCAGAGGATATAACTCATTTGGCAGAGTGCTCACCTAGCTTATACAAAGCTCTGGGTTTAATCCCAGCACAGCGTAAAGCAGCCACGGTGATGCATACACCTGGGTTCCCAGCACCTGTGGGGTGGAGGCAGGAGGATGAGCAAATCAAGATTGCCTATGACTACATAGTAAGTTAGAAGCCAGCCTGGGACACATGAGACCCTGTCTTAAAAGAAACGAAAGCCAGCTTACTTGGGATTTAGTGCCTGGTACTAGTGTACACAACCATGTTGTGGAAACAGAGTCTGTGACTTCAGATGACAAGCTAGCTTTCATGGTTAGCAACATCAAAATCACCATACTCTGAGGAGCCTTGTGACAGTGGCGTATAGAGATACTATTTAAATAAACCTATCTTCCATAAGTACAAAAAACTATTGACAAGTGACTTTGCTGTCCAATGTGATATTAACGTATGTTTGGCTTTTTATGCAGTGACTAGACTGTCCTTTGGGGAGAATTGTGGGGGTTTATTGAATGCCCTCCTCCCACCCCACCTCATCTCATGGAAAATGAGGATATTACCCATTTCCT